TTTCCCACGGTCGATCACCACTCTGCACCTGCTTGCACCTGCTTGCACCTGCTTGCACCTGCTTGCACCTGCTTGCACCTGCTTGCACCTGCTTGCACCTGGGAAACGGTGTCGGAGAGTGTCCCTCGCAGATGCAAGCTTTCCCACAGTTGATACACAGCTTCAATTACCGTTAACGTTCCGAAGCTCACTCTCATGTCGTGTCTAAGCCTAGCTATCTTCACTGGGGATCCGTCTTGGTTCGCTGACTAACCTTGTCTCAGCTACGGTGCCGAGCACATAAAAACCTGAGTCGTGTGGCACGGCGAACTCTGCACTCGAGCGCAAGGCACTTAGGAGAGCACTGAGTCTCAGCTTACCCTTTTCAGGTCTCAGCTGAGTCGCCACCATGACGAACCTTGCCCACATCGCGGTGCACTGGAAGGCCATCACTAGCTGCCAAAGCGAATGATCAGGTTGCGGTTGATGGATGACGACGATGGCCTGGTCAAGTTCTGGTCGATCCGCTAACACCCCCGATCGCGCATGGCTGGCTAGCTTGCCGCTCACTTTCTCTTTCGAACCTTAAGTCAACTCGGCACAATGGCGTGGGGCCGGTAGCTCACGATGAGCACATAAACCAGGGAATGTGGGAGGAAGACTCTGCGGTCAGCTTGTGGAGAGTGATAGCAGCTCACTCGACCGCGATGTTAGTCTGACTTGCTCGTTCCCCTTGAATTGACATGCGGAGGGCTGCTCTTGGTCGTGATGGGAAGGGCTACGCCGATCTCGGGGGAGGATGCCGCACTCGAGAGGGTGAAGAGGCGTGAGGTTGGCAGAGGGAAGAGAACGGAAAGTGGTTGCTGTCTGGTCAGCTGCATCCAACGTCACAAGGGCGGAAGCGGGCGCAACTACCGCCGGTTGGATCTGCCGTCGAGCTAAAAGCGACTTCGCCTTGTATAACGGGACTTTCAGGTGTCAGTTGCTGGGTATCAGTCAGAGACATCGAGTCATCGCAGGCAGCAATCCCGTTCTGCTGCTGGGCCTAGTCAAAGTAGATACCGCATCGCCAGAGCCGTCGCCGAGATCTTATCCATACACATCCACTCCATTAGCGATCGGTCGGTCACCAGTTGATACCGAGCTTCTTGAGGGGGTTCTCCTGCTTCGCGCTCTTGAGGTCCGAGATCTCACCCCTGATTTGCTCCAGCTGCGACTGCAAGTCCTTAATCTCCAGGTTCTGATGCACGAGCGCAGCGATGAACACGCATCCGATAGCCGTCGCGATGAGCTTCGGCCCCGCCTTGCCCGCAACTTTCCACACGCCAAGCGAGAGCGAGTACCCAATGAGCGGAGAGAGGAGCATTGCACTGATACCGAGGATGAGAACGGGTACGGCGGACCAGTCGGACTTGACGCGCGGCGCACTCCAGGCCGTCAGGACGAAGCCGGCGCCGAGGGCCGCAAAGGCGAGAATGAAGAAGGGGAAGACGTCACCGACGTCAAGCGTTTCGGAGAGGACAATCTCGCTGCTCTCGGTCGTGTCGCCACTGGTGCCGTTGGTCTCGACAGTAGCTACGGCAGTGGGGGCGGCGGAGGCGGCTCGCGACCGGGAGGGGGAAGATTGGTGAGAGTGCGTCGGCGAGTTGCCGCGAGTCGAGGAGCGGGTTGAGGGCATCCTGGTTCGTATCTTTCGGATGTTGGGATGAGGGCGAATGTCAAGGAGAAGAGAAAGAGACGATGTCCGCTCTGAAGCGACCGTTGGAATTAGCGAAGTGGTGGATGTAGAGGAACGAATGGAGCTAGGAGTTGGATCTCTTGGACCGGGTGAAGTAGGCCGAAAGTGGGAGGATCCAAGAGGTGTAGGCGCTGCTGACGGGAATTCGCGGGGTCCCCGCTCTGACGATGGGCGGCACAGGCGGCAGTGGGTTTGTTGCGCTTTTGGCGTTCACATCGTATCATGCATTTCCATCATGCCATGAGCAGTTATGACTGCGTGTCCAGAGGACGAACAAGCTGCAGGAATGTTGATACCTTGGGTTGCCCATGAGGGAGAGTTCGAGGCCGGTTCCGGACGTCCTTTCATTCTCAGAGATCAGCTCGGGACGTTCAAACTGTCGCGTTTCCAATGGGGACACGATCCATTATGACGATCTTAGCAGGTGTGGCCATGTCCAACTTTATGTCCAATATTTAAGGTGTTCGCTTTTGTCTCGATTCCCTCCCATTCTACTTTGCTCTCTACACACCCTTCGGGCGAAGCCGACGGTCCTTATCTAATCCGATACCGAAATTGAGAGTCTCCAGTCAGAGTTCCTTGGTCGGCCGAGCCGAACTGCTAGCGGTCAGCCTGTACCAAGATGGAAGGTCATAGTCCCAGGTAAGAGCGCGCTCAGCGCTGTTGATCTTTCCATACTTGCTGCTGTCTCTCGGTCGGCAACGAGTGTCCTCCAGTGCAGGTTCCTTCCAGCTGCAACATCGCAGGTACGACCTCAGAACAGCTAAGATCTGTTATGGAACCGCTTTCCTGGTGCCTTAGCCCAAGAATGGGGTCTGTTCCAGAGTTCCAGACGCAGAAAGGAGGGAGTAGAAGTTCTGCGTGCCCACGTGTTTTACGTGAGCGGTGGAATCCAAGGTGTTTCGCCACCCAGATCTGAGGTCTTCCAGCCATGACCCTCGGAACTGAACTCTTGCCTCGGAGAATAGCCCAGCTCCAGTGCCCCGGCATAGCCCTCCAGAGCAGTGCTACAGAGCTGCGGGCAACTGAGTTCGAGTGTCGATCGGGCAGCTTGCGCAAGCCTGGCACCGAAGTTTTCACAGGAACCAACCACCTCTGCCTGCCTTCGCTTGCGTGTTTCCTTTGTGCCCAGAATAGCTCCGCCCAAACTTCCGTCCTACCCCTCTCCTGACTGCACATTCTGTTGGGATTAGACACAAGATGCAAGGGATTGTCTATGCATAGTTCTATTGTACAACGTTGGCCGATTCCAGTGTCCGGCAATCCTGAAAGTCTAATGACGCCCCGGCTGGAGTCAAAACTCTCGAGACGCCACCGACTGAGCGATGATATGTCTGTCTCCACTGAATGCCAAAGTTTGCTGAATGCTGGATTGAGCATTCATCGGTGTAGCGAGTGATATGGTGGTGCGGCGGGCAGTGCAGCGAGTGAGGTATCGGAGATTAAGAAGAGATCTAGTCCTCGTCCATCCTCTCGTCCGCGGGCCGACCGGCTCCGTCCTCGTCGGCGTCCTCCGCCTCTCCATCGCCAGCGTCCAGCTTCGCCCCTGCGCCCATGAGCTTGGCTCGGAGCACACACCGGTCACGCGTGTACTTTGTCTTCTCCCGCTCCAGCGCCGGCTTGACCTGGACCTGGACTTTCTCGATCAAGCCCATGTCTCGGAGCGTTTTGAACAGGAACAGTCTCCGATTATTCAAGGAGAAGTAATACGGCACGAGCTCGCCGCCCTTGCCTCCTCCAGCGACGGTCTTCTTCTTCCCTCCTCGCGGCGCTTCGTCCTCTTCCTCTTCGCGGGACGAATCGCCTCGTTTCCGCCGCCCGCCCTTCTTCGCCCCACCCTTCCCGCCGCCCTTGCCCTTCTTGCCGAACGTGTCTGGTGCGGCAGGAGCCTCCTCAAAGTTCTCGATGACGGTGATGTAGGGGATGTCCTCCAACTTGGTCTCACCGCGCACGATCTCGTCCAGCGTCTGCTGGATCTGCTTGTTGCAGCCCGTGAAGACGGGACGCACACGCGCATGCGTAAAGTAGATGTCGTACGGGTCCATCTCGCGCAGCTGCCGCCCCTGCGCCAGTTTACGAGACATGATGTCTTCGTGCCCTTTCGATGTGTAGATAACGAGATGTTCGAGCCCAGTCGGGGCGAGTGCGGAGCTCGATGGGTACCGCGAGAGGAGGAAGGTGCGGCCGGTCGGGAGGTTGCGTGTGTGCGACAGGTGTTGCACGTGGGAGAGTTCGGATCGAGAATGAGTTTACGGGCAAGTGCCGCCTTCAGAGATTGATTCGAAGATATCTGCCTATAAGATTTAAGATGTGGTGGTGGCTTCTGTCGCTTGAGCGTGCTCGCTTGTCGATCGATGGTGGGTGCTGGCTACGCATCGATCACGATCAGGATGGACTTCGCAGGAAAGTTGAGGGTGGAGGTGGAGGTGGGATCTAGGCTTGCCAGCACGTGGTTGAAAGGTCCCGCCCCCCACCTCGCGCCTAGTGATTGAGAAGCGTGACACGCCTAGCCCACGCATGTATCGAACCGCTTGACGCGACGTAGCGATGAGTGAACACTTTCGACGCCATCGACGCCTCGCATTACCAAAGTTGAGACTTTCACACCTCGCACTCGTCGAAATCAACCTGGAGGCTGCGTATACCCGAGCCTCGGGCTGAGTACTGACGGCGTTGGAGGCGTCCGGTAGTTCTATCATCAGCCTGTTGACATCTTCAACCGCTCCCCTTGCGGGTGAGGCGACGCAAGCAGCTACCTCGCAATATGCGAGCTCCCGACCCGGGATGCGCCTCAATACGCTGTACGAAACATCTGAACGGGCGGAACAAAGATGAGCGGCAGAACCTCATTAGCAGCTCCGTCATCCACCGGTTGTCCACGGGCCAGCGAGCACTGGCACGGATTGTGATCGCACGCCAGTGCGTGCACGCCCTGCGCCTCGCGTGATCACATGTCGTATTCAACACGGGTACCGCAGTTGGGTGCCCGTCTCTTGTGCATCCCTTGAAATGCATCCCTACGAAGACCTAGCGGGAAGCAGTGGAAGACGCGGGCTTAATGCCCGCCTTCATTTTTCGACCCTTTGAAGCCAGGGTTGGCCCGTAATCAGATAACGCCCGTATCTGATTGGGAACTGCCGTGCTTCGATTTCGGGCGAAGTTGGCAATCAACCAACCAGGACGACGAGCCTGCCAAGTCGCCGTTGGAGCTATTCGTGAACTCTCTGCGCCGGGTATGCCGACACTCTGCTCCGCTCGCTGGATATTCCCAATGCTGCAGGGACTGAAGAAGAGTTGGGCTGCGCCGAAAACGCCGCATGCCCTGCCCTTGCGCCAGCGACGCCAGCTGCGCAGCCACCTCAGGTGAGGTACTATTATCAGATAAGCCTGGGGTTTCGACGGCTGCCGTCAGCCGCGCAGTTTGTCATGAGCTTGAGCTTCGCAGCCGTCGCGTCCCGTGCAACATCTCAGTCGGGCGGGACGTCACCACTTCTGAACCTCGCGCAGACAGGCCGGTGTACGTTTCAGTGCAAAGTCTCCCGGAGTGCTCCACGATCGTTCCATTCGTGACGCCATGCATTATGTCTTGGGGTATCGCACCCTGCTACAAAGCCTTCCCAGCGAAGGATGCGTGTCTGCGTGTCTCGTGATAGATTCTAGAATGGGACCTCTGGTCCCTTTTGATGGTACTTGGTAGATAGATGGCTTACCAGCCGAAAGTCTCCTGGAAGAGGGTGATCTCGGCCTGGCCATTGAAGACGGCCTTGGCGGTGTTGACCTTGGTGACGGCCCTGCGGGTGTCGAGCGACAGACCAGTGGGGCCACACACGCCAACTGCGAGGCCGGCAGCGTCGCGGGGCGTGTGCTCGATCTCCTCGCGCAGGATCATCTCAATGTTCGAGCGTCCGCGGTGGAAGCGCACGTGCTTCGAGGCATTGATGTCGAGACCGAGGGACGAGCACTGCTTCTCATCGTAAGAAGAGGAGTCAGAGAAGGCACCCGGGGCACCGCGGGAGGCGCCGCCCTTCTTCTCGCTGTTCGGGAACTCAGACGAGTCGCGCGGCGTCTCGTCCGGGCTGTCGAGGGGCGAGTCGAGCGGCGAGTTGTTCATCGTCTCGTCCTCCACCTTCTCCGTCGGGTGGGCGGGAACCTCGTCGGCGTTCGGCTCGTCCGCGGCGTGGGAGCGGGTGACATAGAGGTTTACCTGAACGTCGACAGAGCCAGAACCCTCAGCAAAGCACTCATTCAGCAGCGGGGCAATCCAGGAGGCATAGGCGTGGTGACGGATGTTCCAGATGACACGGACACGGGCGACGGCGCTGTTGCCGGCCTTGGACTGGCGGACAATCTCCATCAGGTGCGAGATCGAGTAGGTGATTCCAGTTCCTCCGGCGATGAGGACGGCCGAGCCGAAGTGGTTCAGGTCGTGCGGCGTGCCGTACGGACCCTCGAGGTAGCAGTTGAGCTTGTCGTCGACGTCGGCCTCAAGACGGTTGATCAGGCGGCGGGTGAAGCCAGTCTGGCCCTTGACGAGGAACACCACATCGCCGCGGGGGTTGGGAATGTTGGCAATCGTGAAGGGGTGCTGCTCGTAGCGTGCGAGGGCGACACCGGGCATGGTGATGAAGGCGTGCTGACCGGGAGAGAACTTGAACAGCGGACGGCGGACAGTGAGGCGCACGACCTCACCCTCGAGCAGCTCGCACGTACACGAGCTGGTCTCCTCCCTCTTGCTAGGCACGCAGAGGAACCAACCCTTGTTGACAAGGAACATGCGCAGGAAGCCGAGACCGCGGTCAAAGCCCCAAACGATGAGAGCAGCCCACGCCCAGTACCGCAGACGGCGGAAGTGGAAGTAGCAGCCAACGAGGAACATGATGCACATTGTGACGTGCACAAAGAGGAAGGTCTCGTACAGCATGTGACGCACGAAGCGGAACGAGGTGAGGAACATGAGTGACAGGCCGATGATGGCGACGACGCCAGAACGGAAGAGGACTGGGTCGGTAGTGGGGCCATGGTGACCGAGACCCTTCTTCACCCAGAGGGTCCAGTGCACCCACGAAGTCAGGACGCAGACACGGGCAGAGGCACGGTGCAGGTAATTGAGCTTCTCATATGAGATGCCGGTGAACCATGATACGATGTTATTCTTAGCCGCCAAGCCGACGATCAGGGGCAGCTGGGCGAAAGACTTCACGTCAGCCAAGGCTCAAATCCGTTTCGGTCACATGGGCAAATGTGGCCGAAGGGGTACTCACAGCATATCCCATCGGGTTGGCGAAATCGCGGGAGCCCTTCCAGAACGTGACCCAAGCGGTCATGCCGAGGACAATACCGGTGTAGGCAGCGGTCCAGAACCATTCGGCGGCAGACGAGTTCGAGTAGATCCAGGCCGGGAAGACCTTGACGTAGGCGTAGTTGGTGCTGATGGCATGGAGGGCACGGCCGAAGGCGGAGAGGGAGCGGGGCTTGGACTCGGTGCTGACGATGCCCTGGGCGCGAAGGGGTCCGACCTTGCGGCGGATGTACCAGGCCTTGGTGAGGTTGTAGACGTAGAGGATGGCGCAGACACCGCAGATTCCGGCGAAGATCCACCAGAGGATGTTAAAGCCGAGAGCCTGGTGCGCTCGGCTGGCGGCCTTCTTCGCAGCCTTAGCAGCCTTGGCAGCCTGGTCTTCCTTTCCGCCGGCGGCGCCGCCAGCAGCAGCCGCAGCCTCTTTGGCTCGGATGAAGAGATCGCTCATCGTGAGGAGTGGTGTGTGGTGTTGGGGGATATCTGATAAAGGCTGACCCTGCGAGTTCTTATATGCCGCTGTCTACGAAGAGCACTAGAGGTCGATCGGGACACGAAGCCGCAGAGGAGAGTCACCAGAGCAAATGAAATCCTCCCCTCGGGTCGGCCCCTCTCATCGGCAACATTCGTGGATCTGGACTGGGCACCCACTCGTTCGCTTCAAGTTTGCAGGACTCTCCTCCCTCCTCCGCATGCCGTCGGGTACTTGCATCTGCTCCAACAGCGCTGCTTTCTCCCCCTCGTTTGAGGGTTGAATCGGGGCAGCCGCCGTACAACTCACCGAGCAGGAGCAGATGTGGAAGCCAGGTTTTAGATCAGAAGCCAAAGCTTGTCACTTCCCTGTGATCCTGCGATCCCTGCGATCCTGTCATCAGGGATGCGCAGGAACGGCCCTCAGGGAGTTTGCAGAAACTTTACGACGCTTCGGCGGCTTGAACGACGCGCAGACGAGCGTCCATCATATTTTTCGGGCGAAATTCATCATGACCGCCACGATTTAGCCAATGACAGCGCGCGGCCCTGCGACATTGCTCATTGAACGAACCGTAATTTCGGTGAGAGCTGGCATATCCACACACCATCTGCGCCCATCCACACAAAATTCAGGGTCCTGGTTGTTTAGTATGCGTTGGACCCTGAATTTTTGATCCCGTTGCATATACAGCTTATGTAAGCCCACCATATGCATCTCGAACGCGTTTCCTCGTCCAACTCGCGTTTCAACGACCTTGTCTCTAGCTCGTTCTCGACAACTAGCGCGAATCCTGCTACAAACTAACGTCCCTAGCGTCCTACAGACCCCAGGCTATCAGCTCGTACAACAACCATGCTTGAAGAACCCGTGTATGCCCCATACGGCACTGCCCCCTCAGACGACCTCTACGCGTACCCGCAGGGTCTCGATCCTACCGCAGACGCTTATCTCGAGTGGCTCCGCGTTACTGAAGATATCAGTGACGCGTATGAGACCTCGGAAGAGCTCTCTGAGCTATCGGACTCACGTTTCGACCCTGTTCTGCCACCCCCCCCTCTGACCGGTCGGAATGACACTCAGGACGGTCTCTTGCAACCTGAGGCAACGACGGGCCCTGACGCCACCAGGCGCTTCCAATTTCAGGAGACTATCGCCTCGCACCTCCAGCAGCACACGGCTGTGCTTTCCGTGCCGCCTTGCCCCCTTTTCAGCGCTGCCAGCCGGTACGAGTTGGAGGAGGAACTCTGCCAGTGGGCCCTGGATCATGGCTTCATGTTTAAGCGGCGTAGCAGCCCTGCACGCGACCGGAACGCCTCTGCCAGGCGTCGACTCACCTTCTTGTACGTCTGTGTGCGCTCTGGCAAGCACCAGGACAAGGTAAACGCCTCTGGGCGTCAGCGGCCTGCCAGAACGAGCCTGACAGGCTGTCCGTTCGGTGTGAGGGTCCACCTCTCTCTCCACGACGATAGGGAGAGGTACACCGTTGTAGGACCCATTGCTAGGGACAGGAGCACCACCCACAACCACCCACCTATCCAAACGGGCGAGTTGCCACGTATGAGGCCCATTCACCCCGAGGTACAGCGTACGATCGACTCGATGGCCCTATCGCCCGCCTCACCTATTGACATCTTCTCTCACGTCACCAGGCTCTTTCCAACCCAGGCGGCCAACCTCATGCTTGACGACATACGCGCGACGCGCCGGCGGGCCCGTCGGGCCCAGTTGCTGGGTCGAACGAACGCTGAGTTTCTCCTACGATACCTCGAAGACAGGGCTCATGAGCTGGGTCTGCTCTACAAGCTGGATCAGCGCGATGATGACGACACGCTCGAGGGCCTCATCTGGTCGACGAAGACGGCACGAGCTCTGTTCCATCGGTTCTGCAGTGTCATGGCCATCGACGTCACCTACAACGGAGACCGTCATGGCCACAAGCTGCTGCACATCGCCGGCTTTACAGCCACCAACCTCTCTTTCACCGTTGCGCTCGCTGCCATGCCTGATGAGACTGAGGAGACCATCACCCGCTACCTAGGCCACTTCCTGGTCCTCATGGGTGACGTCAAGCCAGCCTGCATCGTCATGGACAGGGCAATGGCCATCCGAAACGCCGCGAGAGCGCACTGGCCAGCGGAGCTAACCATGATCGTCCTCTGCATCTGGCACATCTTGCAGAACCTGCGCAAGGCGTTCTGCGACGCCACCTGGGAGCAACGCCGCGCTGCACCATGGCGTGAGGTGCCAGGCCCTGCCGGCGACCGGGCCAGGAGGGCGAACCTGGCTCGTGCGCGACGGCCGCCCGCGGCTCACCTGCTTGTCAGGGACACCGACGGTCGAGTTATGGACCGAGAGGACTGGGACAAGGCGTCGTTCGAGTTCAGGACCACCTACCAGGCAATGATTGTAAGTGCAGCCTCCTCCGAGGCCCTAGAGGAAGGTCGCCGGGCCTGGAAAGAGCAGTGGACCGGCGAGGTTTTCAACGATCTGCTCCTTCCAGCCATTGAGGACGGCCTTAGGTACGTTGACGAGGATGGCCAGTACTTCGTACACTACCATATCAACCGGCACCCTCACTTTGGACAGCGTACGACCTCGAGGTTGGAGGCTCTTCATGCAGCCCTGAAGTCGTACACTGGCGATCGAGCTGCTCGCGGGCGAATGACGATCGACCAGCTCGTCATCTGCACTCTGCCTCGCTTCGAGAACCAATGGAAGGACGTTCTAGCAGCCATGGACCTCGAGAGTGGCCAGAAGCCCGTCGACAACTCGTACGCTCTCTTCCAGAACATCAGGACGCTCGTTTCTGAGTACGCCATCCATTATCTCCAACGGTTTCAGGTCGGGCTGGCCACAAACAGCGTTCTTTGGAAGCACGGGCACCGCCAGCGTCCTGATGGCAGCCCTATCCCTGAACCTAAGCCATGCACCGGCCAGTTTCAGGCTTCTCTCGGCTTGCCATGCGCTCACACCATCGCCGAGGCCATGGACACCATCAACGGGGGCTCAGGATCGCTCGAAATGAAAGACTTCCACGTCCAATGGTGGCTCACGAAGTCTCCGAGGATGAATCAGCTCAAGAACGACGTCGATGAGGCCATTGCGAACGGCAACGGCCTGCACGATCTCGAGATTGTCGACAGGGCCGGTCTCCGGCGTCTCCGAGACCCAGTCTCCTCTGCTGCTCGGCGTGCAGCGGAGGAAGCCAGCGGGGTGGCCTCCTCCCAGCCCAGCGGTGGACGGTCCAGCCAGCGGCCTCTAGCGCCCCGCCGAGCAGCGGCTGCTCCTCGACCTCGGCGTCCGCAAGCGAGCAGCGGACGGCAATTGACACAGGCGGAGATCGCCGCCGGTGGCCCTGGAGATGGGATGGAGCGCTGTACGGCGTGCGGGCAGCATCATGACGTGTCCTCGCACCCCTGCCGTGCCGCTTTGCAAGCGGCGGCAGCGGTGGCAGAGAGCCAGCGTCGTTTGCGCACTCGTGATGGCGTTGAGCGTGCCGAGGGCGACGAGTACGGCATTGACGACGTTACAGACAGCGAGTTCGAGGACATGGACCCTAGGTATCGGAGGCTGAAGCCCGCCATGGTGCCGTGCTGCCCGTTCTGCCAACGAGACCACAAGCGGCGTTTCTGCAACCGTATGTACGAGTGGCGGCGTTGGTGCGACGCTCGAGACCTGCGCGCGGCAGCCAGCCTTGCAACAGACCAGGTTCCGGCCACACCGGCGATTGGAGGAGCAGTGGACGCCCCTCGGCCCTCGGCCTCGGCGACCTCGGCGACGGTAGGAGAGTGGCGACCCTCTACACCCGACCGGACATGGCCAGTCCTCCAAACGCCGTCACCAGATGGACCCGAACTCGAGGACATCCTCCGCCAGGCAGACCTCCGACATGAGGCAATGAGGACCCTGAGGCTAGGCTCAACGGAGCCTGCGGAGAGCAGTGTGTGGGCGCTGTCTCGGCGCTTGGCGAGCGCTCATGGCAGCCCAGAGACCGTCATTCGAGAAACCCAGTTGGAGGAGTAGGTTCGTTGGTGGGCAGGGTCGGAAACGGTGTCGGAGGCCTCGGACATGGCAGCGACGCCCTCAACGACGACGAGCACACCCCTAGCTGCCACTAGGGGGGCGCTCGGCGTCGTTGAGTCGCCGTACGCTGTCCGAGGTGATGGCCAGGTTCGACCAGGTCGAGCGAGACTTGACAGCTCAAAGCCGCGAAAAGTAGGAATTTAGTAGTTTTTTCACCGCACACAACCTGAACTTGATAAAAGTCGACTGCCTCGCGTTTCTATGCATAGGAAATCACACGTAATGATCGAGTTGAGTGCACGAGTTGCACGTCGTTCTAGAGCGTACAAGAGAGTAGAAGGTGGCATCAACAAACGACCCAACACACACGTCATTCACGTGGAAGTCTGCCTGATACGAGAGGGCGGTACCTGACATGGCACGAAAACCCTGAATTTTGTGTGGATGGGCGCAAATGGTGTGTGGATATGCCAGCTCTCATC